CCTGGCGGAAAAGGCAGCATTTGGCAGGTTTTAGTTTCAGGTTAGCTTGTTGGAGTCTGCAAAACACCTCGCCAAGCCGCTGCAGCATCTCTGACACATTCTTTGCCAGTACGATGATGTCGTCCAAGTAGACCAAACAGGTCTCCCACTGCATGCCAGCTAAGACGCGGTCCATCAGCCGTTGGAACGTCGCCGGGGCGTTGCATAACCCAAACGGCATGACATTCCACTCGAAAAGACCCGTCCTGGCGCAGAATGCAGTTGCTTTGCGTGCTCTTGGCCTCAGCTCCACCTGCCAGTAACCTGAAGTAAGGTCCAGTGTGCTGAACCATCTGGCCGTAGACAACGTATCCAGTGTATCCTGGATGCGGGGCAAGGGATATGCATCTGGTATGGTTCGCTCATTGAGGGCCCTGTAATCAATGCAGAGCCGATATGTCCCATCCTTCTTACGTACCATAACTATGGGCGAGGCCCAGCTGCTGTGGCTGCGTCGGGCAAAACCGTTCTGCAGGCTGTCGTGTATCTGCTGGTCGGCGTATTGTTGCTTCTCTTTCGTCATTTTGCGTGGAGGTTGTTTGATCGGGGCACCCGGGCGAAGTACAATATCGTGCTGGACGACGTTGGTCCGGCCCAGGTCAGCAGGCCCCATAGAGAACACCTGTCCATAGGTAGAAAGCAACTGTTTAAGTTGAAAGCATTCCCCATCATTGAGGTTTTTAGAGCTCTGAGCATAGAGCTCCTCCAGATGCCGAGGAACCACCGGAAAGGTGACTGGCGAGTCTGTAGCCGGTGGGGCACAGTGAGGCTGTAGGGCTTCAGCGGGCTGGAGGAGACCAGCCAGGGATCCTTCTTTAATGGTCACAGCCTTATTGCCAGGATTAAAAAGGCGAAGAGGAACCGTTTTGGACATCTGGGGATGAACTAAGACTCTAGCGAGGAGTACTTTGTGCTTCTCAACAAAACCTTTAGTAGGGCTAAGTATCATGTCGCTGCGGGGTGCCCCACTTAGGTGCACGCTGCCCCTCACAACATACTCCTCTCCTGGTTCCACCACCACAGTTCTTGATATTTTTACTGCATGCGACTTCAGGTTAGATTCAGATTGGTAGTAGGACACTTCCTCACCAAACAGGATGATGCGGTGTCTGCCGAAATCTAGTCGGGCTTCAGCTTGTGCGAGGAAGGGATGACCAAGCAGCACTTCTAACCCTGCTATCTCTGCTACAAGAAAATCCACATCCACTTGACGGTTGTTGATGCAGACAGGGATCTGGGCCTCACCCAGTACTGGCACATCTACAGGTCCCACTCCAACTAAAGTCTCAACAGTGGATGGATACAACTGAGGTCTCATGTCAGAGTGGATGGAATTATAGTAGCGAAACGGCAGCACATTCCTCCGTGCCCCACTGTCCAACACAGCACACACCTCCATTTCATAGATTTGCATGTGGATACTCATTTCTTGGCTTTGGCCTTTCAGGTGGAACACAGCGGGTCCTTGAGTGTCACAGGGGGAGCTGCTCGATGCCAAATCTTTGGTGATCTTGTGGGGGGAGGGGCACTGCCTCTGGATATGACCCCAACCTTGACAGTTATGGCAGCGGACTTTCCCCTTTGAAGGATTCTTGCGGTTATTAAAGGCCGAGGGCGTGTGTGCGGCTAACCGATTTGGTGTAGAACTGATTACAGGAGTAGTTTTGACAACTCTTTCAGGTTCGTCATTAGTTCTGACCACAGCAGTTCTGGGTCGTCGTTCAACCATGCTGCGGGCTCCTGGCTGCATGGCACTGGTGACATAAGCTGCTGCCCTTTTTGTGGTTTCATGAGCATGGGCTATTTCATATGCACGAGCGAGTGTGGCTGGTCGTTGCTCTAACAGTTTCTGGACTAGTTCTGCATCACCCAGACCGTTTGTGAAAACTTCGACAGCGATAGAGTCCTGTTCAACTTCTGCCCTGTCACCATAAGCCACCGCCACTTTCCCATAAATATCATCTCTAAATGCATTGAGGGCCTCCCCATGTTTTCGTACCCGCTGCCTTAATTCTACTGCGACCGCTGCAGCGTGGTCAGAAGATGGGCCATATGCAGTTTCCAATTCGTCCACCAGGCGGCGGTAGTCCCACCTGGAAGAGCGGGGATTTCTGTGGACTATGGCCCCCGCTGCGCCAACCAGACAGAATTTCAGCTGCACTGTCATCGTTTTTTCGGACCAGTGATTCGCTTCGGCGCAGCTCTCAAACCGGTGCAAAAATTCTTTCCATGGTGTGGTGCCGTCGTATTGACCCGGACGTAATATGGGGACCCTCTCCCTAGGATCTTCATCCTCCTCACTGTCGGATAATGGCTGCGGCGACATGAAACGGGTTTTATTAACTTTTAATCTGGGCTGTGGCCGTGCGGGGGTTTGCCTGTCGTTTATAGTTCCATCCAATCTAGGGGTGCTTTGCACGGCGGAAACTGCCGCAGGGTTAAGTGGGGCAGGCGTGCTGTGTGCAAAGCTTCGAACGTGAGCAGAAACGAAAGGGTTGGTATCAGCATAATTATCTTTCATTTGAAACGTGGGGGCTTGGTAGTAACGCGCCCCGTCATCTGCATTCTCCCCATGGGCATAACCTTGACATTCCGTAGCAACAAATGTATTTGTAGAGCTAACCTGTGGTTGAGTGGGGCCGTAGCGCGGTGCAAACATATCTCCTCCTTTGGCGTACGAGCCGAAACAGCGTTCGTCGCACCGAAAAGGATTATAATGTCCACATTTCCCCACCGCCACATCTTCAGTAGCCTTTCTACACTCTGCACCCTCGGAAGACATATCCAATGTCATAAACGGGTTGGAATAACCCGTTTCGGGCCCATAGTTTTCGCGGGAGTGACCGGCGGCGGCATCCATCTTACGGTTGCTCAGCAACGGGCCAACGCAGTCCCTTAGCTTTATTGCTAGCCGCTACTATCTCTCTTACTCAAAGCTCACCACTCGTCCAGCAAGGCGGGGAAGTCCCTTCGTGGTCGCCAGTGTTAACCGTTCCTGCTCAGTCTTCTGACCGTGGTCGGGAGACACAGGGGAGTTCCTTTCTCCAGGGCCGAAGTGAAAGACTTACTCCGGGGTTAACGCCTTCTACGCCTTGCACATGAACCACACGTTGGCACGAAAGTGGCTGGAAGTTAACTTTTAATAGCGCCAACTAACATAAAACTGCACAGACTTTTTCCTAACTGCTGCTCCGGTCGTCCGCTACACTCACTCTCTCACATTCCAACCGCCTTCCCCGTTTTCCCTCCTGCCTGCAGCGCCCCCTTTCGAACAGGGGGACGGCTGCCACCATCAGCACACACACACACCACTTACTGAGCAATCATCACATACAGTGGAAGCATTTTCCGCAACACAGGCTATCATTGTTTAAGGAGGATTTGTTGATGAGACAATTTTTTTCGGGGTCACTATACAAAAATATTTGTTTGTTTATGTCAGTGTGCACAAGCAATAATCAAAGTTTTTCTACTCTACTGAAGTTTGATTAATACTGGCTCAGTTTTCCTTATTTATTTTTTTGTATTTATGTTTTGAAAAGTGATAATTACAATATATATCTATATAGATATATATACAGTATATAGTAGTTACACAAATTTGTTATTCTTTACCTGTTGAAACTCTTCATTTTGAGAAGATTATATAATTACTGTGAATTATAGTTATAATTTACAGCAAACACCAGCAATATGTGTTGATTGTGACTCCTAAACTTTAGGCCAGATAGTGAACACATGTTTAGATGCTGTAATGGTGTCTCATAATAAGAGGAGTCCTCTTCGAAAAAGAATATATTTTAGCAACAATTAAAATATGAAGTTCTAAGAGATGAAGTGGGACTCTACAGGATTATTACCACATGGACAGATTACAACATATATTGTTGTGATGGGTATGTGAGATTGTGATTAGCTTACCACCCTGTGAGCTTCAGCATCTCAGTCACAAGAATCATTATCTAATGAGAGCATCATTGAAATTGAGATTGCAAATGTGAATAGTATTTTCTTGTGAAGCTGTAATAGATTCAGATGTTGCAGTGTTTTAATAGTTTAAGCGAACATTACAGTAGCTTAAATAATTATTTGCAGAGTATTGTAAACTTAATTCCAACCTGACCTTTAACATGATCTTTTAATCTAATAAGTTATATGAAAGGGACTTGGTTGATATTCCTCTGAGCAAGCCATGTTCTTATAATGTAAATATATAAAGATTTATGTCGCCTAAATATACAGTAAGTAAAATGTATTCTCACATGCTGATCTATTTTCCTGTTCTGTTCTCTGAACCTCAGAAACGCCCTTTTTCAATCTATTTCCTGATTCCTCGATATGAAACCGTTTTTTTATCATGCCATGTCAGTCGCTGCAGATGTTTGATTGACGCATGTATCACGAAGGGTTGATACATTTGTCCGTCTGTGTTTGCGCTCCATCGATTTGAGCAGTCTGGTCATGCTCAGAGACTCCCATGTCCTGGTCAAAGAGCACCCTAAGGTGTCAGGCTGATCAGCTGATGGGGAAAAGCCTTGATTGAATGTCACTACATTCACAACTGACTGCTAGGTCAATATTGATTTCTGCAAGCACAACTCCTTCTTTGTCTGAAAATGTTGTGGCTCTTTTGGTCCTTACCACTCTGTGTGTTGGAGTGCTCAGAGTGGAAGCATAAACGCTTTTTCATCCGAGGACCGCAACCAAGCCTTATGCTCTACGTGTGTCTGATGTCGCTCAAACAGGATGCCTGAGTGTGCGTTTTATATTCCCTATCTCTCAGACAATATTAAAAACCTGAGGCTTTGAGGCAGAAACCCGAGAATGTATTGCTAAATGGTTGTTTCCAAAATAATATTCAGATTTGGATGCATTTTCATTTTAACGGTTTTGCTGAGTTCATTTTTGAATGATGTTGTCATTTCTCCAAATTATTGAAATTTCTCCATCTTTCTTTGCAGAGGACACAGCCTTTGAGGCAGGCGTGCGGGTGCAAATCCACAGTCAGGCGGAGCCTCCTTTTGTTCATGAACTAGGCTTTGGCGTGGCCCCTGGCTTCCAGACCTTTGTGGCAACTCAGGAACAAAGGGTAAGTTCCCTATTATTATCGTGTCTCCACCTCCTATCCACGCATTGGGCTTATGCCTTAGAGATAATGTGATGAATAACCTGCCATAACAGACATAATGAGATTCTGTGCATCAATGTTTATGTGTGATTGAGAATGCTTTTTTTGTGCTGCCTTGAGGCCTTCAGTTGATATCTTTCCTCTCCTATAGTGACTGTTGGCAGATGACTGATGAACTTCTCCCTTTTGTTTCCAGCTTTGACCTTTATGGTAGAATTGCTCTCAGTCCAGCCTGAGCTTTACTCAGTCACACTAAACTTTATTCCACCAAACAAATTTAGTCTTAAAGGCTGGAGGGCCAACAGATATGTTCATTTTGATTGTTCTTCCTCTGACAAAGTTTCACTTCAGATGGTGGTTTTTCAGTGTTTTTTCTAGATTGTCTTTTGTTTACATTTAAAGTTACACTTCCTTCTCTCCAGATGAATCTTTTTATTTTTACCTCACCAAGTCTTCTCCATTTAGTATAATTATAAGGTAACTACAAAAACTTCAAAGGTGAAATTTGCTAAATTCCCTTTCCCTGTGTGTCCCTGTACTTCCATTTTAATTTATATTGCCTCTAAAAACCATCCAAGCATCGCTGTTTGGAAGGCACTCTATTTAATTCACTATCCAGACTAAGTTGTGTTTTAGTGTATAAAACCAAATTTTCATGACTATGAAGTTGCTGCAAAACAGACATATAACATCAGCTCTCAGAGTCTATATGTTTGAACCTGCCCCCCTGAGCATCTTCATCAGGATCCCTTGTTGCTCTCTTTCATTAGTCCACAGAAACACCTCTTTTTTTCCTCTCTTTTGTGCAGTGTTTTCATCTCATTTCCTCTTTTGTTTTCTACCTGCTTTACCTGTATGGCAACACTAACAGGCCACCCACTGGCATGGCGGAAGTATCACAAAGCCTGTCGCAGTTCCTTTGGCTACAGCCTATTTCATGCTGATGGTGCGTTACATAGAACTAATTCTAGAGAAAAAGTCACCACATGTGTGCTGTCACTCCTATTACATAGTACCAGAAATTTGCATGTTGAGGGACAAAGTTCCACTCTTGTGACTTCACCCAGTCATCAAATAGAATGAGTTCCTGGTGCAGGTTTCAAATCAGCATGGCGGACTAAGCAAGTCATGGTGTTTTATTCATTATGGAAAGTCAAATGGCAGCATGGCATCCATGGGTCGACTACGTTCTTCAGAGAAGTAGCTGGGTCGGGCCCCACTCTGGAGAAGAGACAGGAGAAGATCAGAGCAATAGGTCAGGGAGAGAGGCCTGCATGCCATGTCCAGCTCTGGAGCTACAAGAAGAGGACGAATAATGGATTTTTTTTTTTCTCTAAAATAGGCTTTAACATTTCTAAAAACATGCCACCAATTGTTTTTTGAATACACCATTTGGAAATTGTTGACTCTTAAGTGTTTCAATAGCCTTTAGTGGATTGGTCCTCCATCCAACCATGGCTGGTATCATTGGAAACTAGAGACAAGAAAAAATATGAGGGAAAGAGATGTGAAGATAGACTTATCATGCTCTTGATTGGATTTTTCTGAAGAGGAAGAAGAGCAGCAGATAATTTTAGGCACAATTTACAAGGAAGTCATATAGTTACTTTTTTTCAGCTTTACCTTACTTGTCGACTGCAGGTAGCTACCGTCACGAATAACATGGTTTTTTTATGCTATTTTTCCATTTTATGTGCGCTGTAGGTCATAATTGATCACATTAGAAAGTTTGGCTTCCCCCCTGTATGCATGGACACCTAGAACCAAAGACCTGTGATAGAGTATGCCTGTGTATAATGGGGTTTACAAGGAGAATGACCATTAGCAGGTTTGAGTGGTCCAAGACTTGCCCTGCAAAGCCTAGGCTGGACTTAGAGGTGAAGAGAGCCCCAGATATATAAAGGAACCCAGACTACAGGGACAAAGAAGGGGCAGACATGGGAACGGCCACACCCACCTGAAAATGGTAAAGGGGTGCCCCAGGACCTGAGGCCAGAGGGGCCCAACCTCAGAGACTATGGTGCTGAGGCCCCACAGAGCTGCAGCTGCAGAGCTGCTCAAATAAAGAGAACCATCTAGGGGCAAGCAGTCAACCTGACAAGTAGACAGAGTCATGTTCACAAGCACCCACAGTCCACAGTCGCATTCACACAATCCCACACTTACACCTTCATAGACATATACAGCCACTCAATGAAATGACACACATGAGCAGACACTCATTTTTACACCCCTCATACATACACTATCCTCATAGGGACCAACCAATTTCTATAGGCCCACTGAGCCATAAATGTGTTGCTTTAGGTGAAATGAATCCATGAGTGGGAAAAACTCAGAGGCCACAGAGCAAGAAGAGTTATTTTTGTTATTGTCTGTGTTGTATGACTTTAGTATTTTGCCTGTTATAGTGTTATGTCTAAATGCTGATGAAGGTTCTCAGTCATCCAGGTCATAGTCATCCCGTAAAAATTCAAAAAATATCCACTGGACTTGGTTTTTAAGATTTGAAGACGTTTCGCCACCTCTCCAGGAAGCTTTCTCAATTCAAATGTCTGGATCCGCAGTGAGTTTGAGTCTTATATAGACAACGCCTTGTATCGCTTGGAAACATGCAATGGTAACCGATGAATGGGTCGTTAGTTCCATCGTTAGCCTGTAATATCTGAAACGTAGATGATTCCTATAATCTGCAAGTTTCCTAAGCAATTTCTCATACTCACGCGTTATTCCGAGGGTGTCTTTCCCAAAATGGAGTGCAATATGCTGATGAAGGTTCTCAGTCATCCAGGTCATAGTCATCCAGTAAAAATTCAAAAAATATCCACTTCCTGGAGAGGTGGCGAAACGTCTTCAAATCTTAAAAACCAAGTCCAGTGGATATTTTTTGAATTTTTACAGGATGTTATGTCTAAACGGTTTCTGTACTATTTTATTGTTTTGATCTTCTATCTAGTTTTATTATTTGGTTCTCATTCTCTTTTTGAATTAATTTTATAATTGTGGCATATCAACATTGTTTTAATATGCACTGTCCCTTTATTTAAAAAAAAAAAAATTAATGAACTACATTGAAATAAAGTCCACCAACCCTCTATCAAATGTGTTTATCTTATATAAAAAAATAATAAAACTGGACTAATTTAAAACTCTTGTGTAGGACCAGGTGAATCAGAACACAGAGAGTCATAGTTTTTAACCTAACCTAACTTATCTGAAGCTCTAATGAGTTGAAAGACTCTGATACACAAAATCTAATCCTTGTGAAAGAGCTGAAGGCTATCTCCTCACCATGCAAACTACAAAGCACTTTGGATGGCAAAGCTCATTCAAATAAGTATATTCCTGTTCCCTCTTCCTGGTCTTGGTCTAGGCCATAAAATCAAGGTGACCCTTTGAGAGTAATTTACCTTGAAAATACTCTTTGTTCTAAATGCAGAGTACATTTCGAAATGCAAAGCACAGTGGCTGTGCATGCGAAGGAGAAGATGCATGCTGATCGACATGGTATCTGGTGCAACATGGTGCAACAGGAGAGCAGAAACAGGTGCCAGTGGTGACTCCAGGTCATGGGCAGAAATATGTTGCATTATTGCTGGCTGTGCAGGAGGCTGTGCTTCCACTCCTGGTAATGACTTGGGATCCAATATGTACGGATGTACCATTGTGCATCTATTTACAGGCATTTTTAGGTGTATAAAATGAGGGTGTAAATATTTATGGGAGAGGGCAGGGCTGTCCTGTCAGCTGCAACGAATTCTCATAAGAGTGACAATACCCTAAAACTGCAGCTCAAAATAGGCTAAGGAGGTAAAATCTCACCTGAGTAATTCTAAGCAAGACATGTAATGGAAATTTTATAGGCCAGAGAGCTTTCCTAAATATTTAAAAGGAAGGTAAATAGTTCACCATCAAACATTAACCTAACAATTTCAGTCTTTGTTCCTTTTTTTTTTTGTTATTCACTTACATTGCATCACCATCATATTCTTTAAGACGCTGTCAATTTTTGAGGGTTTGCAACATTTAGAACTAAGGAAAAGTTTTTTTTTTCTCTAAAAAACATTGGCTTAAAGCAGATACTTGAAACCAGATCATTCCTATTAACTAAGGCGTTCTTGATCATGTTGTTTGAAACCTCTACTGTATGTAGGGATTTAGGCATCCGCATTGTGGGTGATCCCTACAACCCATCACACGGCCTCTTCAGCCTTATCCGCAGTCTTGGGGCCATGACCAGTTGACTGAGGGACAGCTTCTTCCACCAGGCTGTCAGTATAGCCACATCCCTTCCTATTTTGCCCCTAATCCCTCCAGCTGCCCTCCCTCACTGAACCTAAACCTCCCACGCACATTCACACATACTCACTCATTTGCACACACTTAACCTGCCCTGATTCCCCTCCACCAAACGGACACCTTCCCAAGGACTACTGTGCACTCATGCACCTTCTGGCTAAATGCACTTTCAGTAAATGTCTAGAATTTTCTCTTATTTTTTATGTTTTCTCTCTTTTTTTTCTTCCCTTTTTTTTAGCTGCTACTTGTGTTGTCAGTGTCTGAGAGTGCTGGAGTTTCAATTCCACAATATGTCCTGTATGTATTGCAGAAATTGATAATAAAGCTGACTATTCTACTCTATTCTATTGTGAAGTTCAAAATCAGCAAATTTTGTTGGGTTTATTTCTGCAAATTCAGAACAAAAAAATAGAATAGAATTATATTTGAAACTATTATCATGGTCAGGTTCTAGACAAGGTAAATCTAAAAGTATGTCTTTAACAAGTGTGGCAAAGTCCAGGGGCTTTGTGTATAAAGATGTTTTCACAGAAAACAAAAAAAAACCTGCAGTGCAATGTATCACGGAAAACTGGAGTTACCCACTTATTAACCCAATGAATTAAAGGTAACTCTGTTCATTTAAATGTAACTAAAGGACCATGAAATTTGATGCTTTTTAA